TTCAAAACACGGCTAACCGTTAGCCTCGCGGCTAACGCAGCGATAGCGATGGTTGCGAGCATTTATATGCTGCGATACAAACATTTTATGTTGGTGTGCGGGTAAATGTTGTTTGTTTTAATCTGTTTTCAATGCTGATTGTATCAAAACTGTGTTCGCGGATTAACGTGTGTAATATATTAAAAGCTGTTCGAACTAGGCCTGGAACCATGTACGTACTTTACCAGGAAGTGGATAATATACATGTTTGGCTTGTTAGACTTTATCTCAACAAAGAATTATGGAAATTAAAAGGTTTTGGATTCTATTATAGTTTGGTGGATTATAGCTGTTTCAAACAACAAAGTATAGTGATATGAATTCTACATCGATTTGTATTTAAAATAAATAAAAGAGAAAATTATAATAAAGTTTGATTAGAATGATACTTATTTCTGTTGAATTTATGTTTCAATGATTGATGTTAGGAGTCCTTGTTTTTTTTTAATGTTATTGTGATACCATACAGACATCAAGTACAATGATATAACTACAAACCTAAAAATAATAGGTGACGGAGAAGATGACAAATGTACTGTACATTTAAATGAGAAACACTTGTCATTGGGAATTGAGAATGCTGTTCATAAGAGTATAGTACCTTGTGAAAATGTTTTCCCACAACTGTAATTATTTGTGTAATAACTGCATTTTGATGAACTATAAATAGATATGATTAAATATTTTGCCTGTCATGTCATGGCTGATTGTGATCAATGATAACTCTGATGATCATCAGCTACTTAGAGAATACTTATCACCTTGACTACATAGGTATCTCAGTGTCCTCACTGTCTGGGCAGGTTGTGGCCTGTACCATGTATGCTAAACATGATGACCTACCTATGTCAAAGCACAGATGTGACTGTGGGACAGCTTTGAGTGAATTACATTGCCTGATAAGGGCTTCTGTTCTCACATCATTAGGTTTCCAGGCCTCAGTGAAGGTACACGGTCTAGAAAGCTTATCATACCCATTTATAGCTCGGTGACAGACAGTACACTGGGGACAGACTGGCAAAGAAAGACAGGACACTCGCTGGTGACACGTTCTTATTTTGAGTAATGGCATGATCCACTTTGCATTTGATCACATCATCTCTGCTCTGTCTCATGTGAACAGCCAAAACATTGTGCAAATGTCTTCTGTCCTGTTCACTGACACTGAGGCACGGTGGAATTTTTTTTGACAAGGATAGAGCAGAGGCTGAATCAGTTTCCTTCTGGATTCTTTCACTGTTGTAATACTTCAATGCAAATCTGATTTAGTAAATTGTTTAATTTTCTTATTCAGCTGTTTATTTCTTTATATAAACAGTGTGTCTCTAGTTCTAATGTCCTACTTCTCATGCCCAGTTCTTAAAGAAATATAATGTTAAGAGAAAGGTTACAGTCTTAGACCTATGGGTACATTACACAACACATTTAAAAATATATGTGAATTTTGATTGTTTTTAAAGTCACTGGGTCTTTGACCTATTTTCAGGATTTGGTCTGAACACTAAACTTGTTTACTGTTTTCAAGATGTCTGAGACCTGAGCATGACATGTAAAATTAGTGTGTGTAAAAAGTGTGTTGTGAAATGATTTTAATCTTTGACCTAATGTACTTGGTTTTGTATTTTGACAGGAAGAAAACAGTCATCATGTCTAGCAAAAGGGCTAAGGGAAAGACCACGAAGAAGCGCCCTCAGCGCGCTACCTCCAATGTCTTCGCCATGTTTGATCAGTCACAAATCCAGGAGTTTAAGGAGGCGTTCAACATGATCGACCAGAACCGTGATGGTTTTGTTGACAAGGAGGACCTTCACGATATGCTGGCCTCTTTGGGTGAGTAGAAAAACGGCGAGAAAAAGAATAAAAAAAAAACAGTCTGTTGTCAGAGCTTCTTCGACGGCGAGAAAAAGAAAGAAAAACAGTCTGTTGTCAGAGCTTCTTCAAGAATGTTTCCTGGCTGTTTGCTCACTGTCACTGTCACTCTGTTTGTCCAGGTAAAAACCCCACTGAGGATTACCTGGAGGCCATGATGAACGAAGCTCCTGGACCCATTAACTTCACCATGTTCCTCACCATGTTTGGAGAGAAGCTCAACGGAACAGACCCTGAAGATGTGATCAGAAATGCATTTGCCTGCTTTGATGAGGAGGGAACAGGTAACTTTCACTCTCCTACAAACTCATACTCATATACATACACATTTTTGAAGCTTGTATCTCAGCTGTAGAAAAACTGTGTCAACATTCTATTCTATTTTTTTCCGTCCAGGTTTCATCCAGGAAGATTACCTCAGAGAGCTGCTGACAACGATGGGTGACCGGTTTACAGATGAGGAAGTGGACGAGCTCTTCAGGGAGGCGCCCATCGACAAGAAAAACAACTTCAACTACGTGGAGTTCACACGCATCCTAAAGCACGGCGCCAGGGATAAGGACGATTAAATAATCAAACCAGCATCATAATTCCTCTCTGCCTTTTTCCACTCTCTTCCCTCAGCTACATCATCATGCTGCATGTCTCATCTTTCCAGTACAAAACCCGTTGAACCAAAGCAATAACCACATGCTCTTTGTCCCCAATATACAGTTTTGCCAAAAGCCCACATCTAAGATGAAAACAAAGAAACAAATCTATTCAGTTTTCAAATAGTTTGTTTCTGTCATTTAGAGATGTGCAATGGCAGCACTAGGGGGCGCTCCAGGGGCATAAGTTGTTGCAAATGATCAGATCTAGCTGAATTTTTACATTTTATAATATAAACTTTTTAAAAAATAAAGTCCTATCAAGTTATTCTTTGCTGGCTGTTTCCCTTCCATAAACTACAACTGAAACAACCGTTGCTGCTCAGTAGTAGTTTTTTTTTCCCCCCTAGGATTTACGGTTTGCGGTGGATTGTTAAACTCATGTTTTCTCCATTTTTCAGGAGCTTCGAGTCATGACACGTCTCTCACCTCACCATGTTACATTAAGCGTGTGCAGGCGGGTGTGAACAAAATTCTTTCTCCAGCATAGAAACTCCAATTTTTTTACCTTACCGGAGTCAACAGTTAAACCTGTCCCCTCAAAATCAAATGGTGAATGTGGTGAGTTGTGGCTTACAAGTATGTCATTTAAAAAGTGTTGTAGTTTAATAAAGTCCTTATCAAGTGACTTCATTCTACTCTCTGAAAATGTCATAGCTTTTCAAGGCACTTCAGGCCAAAGTTCATATGCTGTGCATAAATATAATTATTATAAATATAATTATTCATGTCATGTTCTTTTCAGAATAAAAGTAATGCTCCACTATAATGCTAATGAATATTAGGATTGCTGTTATACTCAATCAAATACAGTAAAGCAAAATAAAAAACTAATGTTTTAGGCTTGACATAGTTCAGTTTAATATACTAAAAACGTTTACATTAAATTTTAGATGTCAGTAAATCCACAGCCAATAGGTGCTACGACCTACGCAAAAATATAGGCGTAGCTTTAAAATGTGACGTTGTTCCTATGTGTTGCATTTACGTTCATTTGGAGAAAAAAATATCTAACTGGGAGCTGGGGCCAACTAAGTATTGAAGTCTAAGATGAGAAACAACCAAACCAAACTTCCCAGGAAACTATACTGGTCGTTATTGCACTTTTACTTTAGTTGATTTAGTTAGGGCACTTAACCATTTCAGATTGACAAATGTCCGTGATGTCCGCGAACGCCCCACTCACTCGAGGCGTTCGAGGAAAACACGGACATTTGTCAACAACGGAACCATGTGCATCCTGGGTCGTCTTTTCCTGGTTCGGTGACCTTGGTGAGATGCTGTAAGTGTCCATTTATTACTCCACATTGTTTATTGTTGTCATTTAGTACTTTTGCCTCACACTGAACTGACATTGTATCTATGTCAAACCAACGACAGGAACACGGTACTCGTGTTTTACCATGTTAGCCGGGAGTTAGCAGCTAAGTGGCTAAATGTAAGCTAAAACAAATTTTTGAGTTGCTTGTTGAGTTGTATCTGTTTCATACAGAAAGTAAATGGTACGTCACTGAGCTCCGTTAAAGCCCAAACTAAAGTATGTTGCTAAACAGCATTTGGTTTATTTGGCGCTGTTCTTTTTGTTAGCCTCGTTGAGTTGCTACATCACGGGCGCGCCGATGACGTACTATAAAATCGACAGTGATAGCAACAAAAACAAATAAAAATTGAAAACTCATTCTAATGGAAACAGCAGAACCAGAAGTAAGTATTTTTTGCGTCATTTGTGGTGTTTAGTATGTGTACAGTTTCAAAAGTTTTTGGACTTTAAAAAAATAAGTGCATAGTTGGAATTTGGGTGCTTGTCGATTTTTCTTTCCTTCAAGTTTGGTTATTTTTGGTCTTATATTTAAATGTCATGTCAAACCTTCACATTTGGAATGTTTACTTTTTAATTTTACCTTTCTTTTCTCAACATGTATTAGAAGATATCTGCTTTTAATATCTGCTTTATGTTTTAAGTGTTTTTCATGTATTAGAAGATATCTGCTTTATGTTTTAAGTGTTTTTTGTTTGTTTGTTTGTTTTTAATTAGTTAAGTCTGAGCAGTGCTGGAGCACAATCATGACTCTGAAGCTGAGTGGGAGAATTAAACCTCTCTTCCGGATTGGGATACAAACTGTCTGCCCCTTTTCCAACCATGCAAGAAGCAGCACAGCAGCTCGTGCCCTGTGTATCTCCAGTCACGGCCTCAGGAAGCCCCTGTCGGACTGGGGTGTCAGTAGCCCCTTCAGGGAGCCGAACATTGTGTCCTATGGCAAAGGGGATTGCTTCAGACGTTCATTTTTTCAGTTCCGTGTGAGCCCATCGCATCAACCGTCAGAAGACGAGGAGCGGTCTTTCCAGCAGAGTCTCAGGAGTTGCAATTCCTCTCAAGAGGTTTTCAATCTTCTGTGTTCGTTGGAGATTCTGTCTGACACCATGGCTGCTGCAGCGCTTCATCGCGTGGCCGACTTCGAGCAGAATGGACACTCGCTGCAGAACCCATCGGTGCTGGACAATGACACCATCAGATGTTTGTGCTTCCAGCTGGAGCAGGAGTATGGTCAGCTGACCGATGCCGGTCTGTCGTCGGCCCTCCTGGCGTGTACACGCCTCTTCTTAGATCCTTGGAGCACTTTGATGGTTCGGTTGGTGTCTGAGAACCAGAGGCGACTGGAGGGTGGGAAGATGAAGGTCGGGCAGCTGTGCACCATAGGTGAGGCCATGCTGGCCGTAGAGGGTCCTGGCTGTGTGATACTGCATCAGGTGCTGGAGGAAATCCAGAAGCAGGAGTCTGCAGACTGGAACGTTGCAGATGCCGTGTCTGTTTATAAACTTCTACAAGATAGTGCGGCTGACGACGCATATTACACAGACCTGATGAATGCCGTGCAAAGTCATTCCCTGCATGACGTCTCAGAATTGGATCCGGCCATGGTCAGTGTACTGCTCAACAAACTGGTGACCGTAGACAAACACAAGGACAACTTTAAGCCTGTGGTGATCAACCTTTGTAAGCAGGCTGTTAGGCATCTACCTCAGTTCACTGACAAGGAGCTCACACTGGTGCTCGGGGCTCTGATCCACTTTGGACACAGTGACGATTACCTGGTGGAGGCGATGGAGAAGTACGTTCCCACGGTAGGGTTTACGGCCCACCCAGAGACGGTCGCAAAGGTGATGCAGTTCTTCAGTAGAAGGAACATCTGGTGTCCACCAGTGTTCGATGCAGTCGCTGAGAGCTTCGTGTACAGAGCGGATGAATACAGCGCCAGCCAGGTGACCAGGCAGATCATGGCTTTTGGGAAGCTGGGATACCTCCCTCCGAATGCAGGAAACATGTTCAAGAAGGTTGAGGAAATCCTGCACACACGCTTTTTACAGTTCAAGCCTCGGACGCTGCTCAACCTGCTCCATGCCTGCACCTTGGTGCAGAGGTTCCCAGTGAACTTTGTCTCCAGAGTCTTCACCAGAGATTTCATCCAGCAGTTACAAGGTAAATATTCAGTAAAGGACATTGGTGTAAGGGTGGGAGAATTAATTACTGTGCCTAGCGTTGTCTGTGAGTAACTGAAGATTAAAATTTCTTTTGCATGACTGTGCTACAGAAAACGGCAGGGATCAGTTTGTCCAGGCTCAGCTGACTCAGCTCTACATGACTCTGCGGCTGGAGTGTCCCTTCTATAAGGTGGATCATCTTAAACATTCACACCGTTTTATTCATCTTCTACCACTGAGGTCTTTCCAGGTCTGAAAATGTCTGGAGGTTTGGTTCATTTTCTCCCACCCTAACTCCTCCAGGGCCCCCATCTCCTCCAAAAGCACCAGGTCAAGTCCTTCTCCTTGCCTGGACGCTCCCTGGAGACGTCCGTCGATGCTAAACTGCACGGCTTTGTGGTGGCTGGACTGACCAAACTGCTGGGCTCTTGTTTATACTTTGGATCAGGTGTTCTGACGCCATATTGTTACACACTTGGTATGTACACACACACACACGTGACCACATTTGTTTATCTTCCAGATATTCCCTTCAGTTTGCATTGAAATCACTGGAGGTTTTTGTTTTTGTAGACGTGGAGATAAAACTTGACACGGAGGGACAGGTGCTGCATGTGCACGAAAATACTGGAGTAAAGAAAAGGTAAATATTGTTTCTGATATTCTTTACTTCTTCCATGTTATTTTTTTTTTACATGTACTGAACTAGAGATATTATCTGAAATATAGGATCGCTCTTTGTATCGATGGAAAATCGAGGTTTGCTGCAAACGCCAGGCAGCTGCTGGGGAAGGAGATCATCAAGCAACGGCACCTGAGGATTCTGGGATATGAAGTTGTTCAGGTCAGAATCTCAAATTTCCAGTGCAGAATTAAGACGTTTCTACATTTAAAAAGAAAAGAAAACTTTTTTTCACACTTCAGGCCATAATAATAGAATATTTTAGAGTGTTATGTTGATCGTTTAATGTCAGCAATTTTATCTTGTTTTGACAATTTATATTGTGCAAGAAATGAATTTATTACAAAGAAAATAACAAAATAAACTGTCGTGTCAGGAAGGCATTTGGTCGCTAATGCAATTTTTGTTTTTTTTCCTCAGATTCCTTACTATGAGATAGAAGAATTGCCCAACATGTCTAGTGTAGTTAAGTATCTGCATCAAAAAATATTCTCCACATAAAGACTGAGCTGCTATTGATAGAAATGTTAAAGCTCTGACACTCGAGGCCTTTATTCAGATCACCAGTGCCAACTGACGTTAAACAACAAGTCATGTACAATTATCTAATTATTTTGAAAATAAATATTTAACTCAAATATCACAACATCAATTATTGTTTTGAAAAATATAATTTATTTTGTTCTTGGCAAAGATGCTGCTGCAAAAGACTGTACATGGTTGAGAGAATCGTCAGTCCAAAAAAAAAAACCCCCAAAGATGTGAAACAAATTAATGTCATTAGAACAGAACCACAATGATTAACAAGAGAACCTGATCAGCTGATAGAGTTTTTTGGTTTTCGATGCCGCCCACTAAGGCCCGGGGTTTCATTTGGATAAATACAACAAATAAAGATTATAATACAAGTAAAAACAGCAGGATTGCTAACAAAGCCGTATGTTTATGTAGCTGGAATCTGAGGGAGGCCAAACTCATCCACCAGAACACCGTCCTGTCACACACACACAAAGAACAGTTAGTAAAAACAGAGTAGTGATGAAGTAAAGCCTCAGACAGTGAGAGAGTGAGAGTTACCCTGTTGGTTGACTTGTCAATAGGAATGCCTTCAGGGATGGAAGGAACTGCAGCTTCATCCAGGTAGGAGCTGTCTTCATCCAGCAGCTCGTCTCCCAAAGCGTCCAGCTCTGTGGACACAGTCCACAGTTTTTAACCATTCAGTATCAAAAACAAATCACCAGCTCCATCCCATCTCTTTGCTACGTGTAATACAAATGTAAGGTGAAAACTGTTACAAACGTTTCACTCTGGGTTCGACGGTTTCTATTCTCACCTGCTGCCAAATCATCCTCATCAATCTCTGGTGTCCCGTAGCTCCTGCCCATTGCCTCCTGAATTTCATTGGCGTCCTCCATCATGTCTTCCAGTTGATCTTGAATATCCTGTACGTGAGGACAGACAGCAGGTAAATATTCATCCGTGCAGCTGCTCTGTCAAAGTCAGTGACTCAAACAGTCAAATCTAATACCTCGATCTTATTAATGTCCACCTTCTTGTACGCTTGCTTCATGTCCTTGAGGCCAGTTTTCATGGCATCGACCTAAATAAAAAAAAGGGGCAAAAAATGTTGAAAACTCTCTAACTTTAAACTGTATCGTTGATGGATGTAAACGACTGGATTTTCCCCTCACTGTGGTTTTAGTGTCTTTAAGGGTCTGAATGGTGTAGTTTGCTTGTTCCATATTGAACGACTGCTGCATCAGGTTGTCCCTCTGACCCTCATACCTGAGGAACAAACCAAAACAAAGGTAAGAGAGTTTAACCACATGACAGAAAACAACATTTTTTATTTATTTGACAGTAGATCCACTTACATTCTTTTCTGCTTCAGGACCCTCAGTGCCTTCTGCTTAACCATGTTCTAATGGGACAAAAATGAATGACAGAACAGTAGTAGTATGAACGGTAATTGTGTAACACAATTTCATAATGTATGTTTTATTTTACGGCATTACCTCCAAGACTGCATGTATGTGTATTAGAAGGTCAAAAGGGCATAGTTGGTTTTATTTGATGCCTACTCGGTTTGGCTATTATAGTAACACGGTGTTGGAAGTTTTTAATTTTATGCAAAAAAAAAAAAAAAAAAGTAGTAACACGGTGTTGGAAGTTTTTATTTTTATGCAAAAAAAAAAAATCAACATTTAAAACGATTTTCTTTAAAACCTCTCTAGAACAGTTGTGATCTGATGTGGTGAGTTTGTAGTTTGTTTTAGCTTGGTTGACAAAAACATTTATTTACGACTGCTCTGCAAACATTTCAAAGCAAACTAACTTACTTCCTTTATTTTTGACTGTTTTATTCCTTGTAAAAAAAAAAAAAAAAAAGCAGGTCTGGTTGTAAACCCTCACCTTCGACGGCCCATCTCTCATCTTCTTCATCTGATCTTTGTACTTCACCAGCTCAGCGTCCAGTCTGGCGATCTTCTTGTCTACTGACTCCGCCCTGGTATCCACCTGAGAGTAGGACACAAAGACCGACGGTAGATTTTAATTTCATCTTCAAGTAAATCATTCATTCATTTATTTATTTCCCATGCCCATAACGTTATAAGTTAACAGCAGCTTTAGGAAGCAGCCTAATCAATATTTAAATTGTTTAATTACTCCTAAATCTGTTCATTTTGCGTCTGTCTGAACAGTAACCTGTAGAACTGGTTAAAGTGTGTCATTGTCGGAGTTAAAAACATTTCCTCCTCCAATTACGTAACGATGATTCGCATGTGATCACAACCACATTTAGGGTTAGTTTAGAACTACGCGCTGTTGTCAAAACAATTAATAATAAACAAAAATGCTGCTGTCAGAATTATTAATTATAATAATATTTTAGTCAATAAACCATCGCGTAATAGTCAAACAAAGAAGACCATTTGGCCCAGATTCTGCTAACAAACTCGGCTACCAGTTAGCCGAACTAGCCGGGAATGTCCCATCTTTGTTTATTTTGTTCACAACAGCATGTAAAAACTGTTTGAATCTTTATACTCACGCCTCCTATGCAGTCTGTGAGGTTCGGTGGTGGCGCTTTAGGCTTTCCTTTACCGAAAATACGGTTCATTTTGGCAAAATAAACTAAGGCTTTAAGGGTAAAAAAAATGAGCAACTTTAGCTCGCTGTCGCCGTCTAACTTTACAAGGAACCCGGAAGAGCCTGTTTCATGACGTCAGAGGGAATGTCACATGAATATGATTCGGTAGCCGCGCCCACCATAATTTTCCAATAGATTTACTTCATTATATATTATTATATTATTATTATTATTATTAAGAGCGGGTTTTTCGTTTCTCCTTTATCTTCTTCATCATCTTCCTCCGTTGTGAAGTCACTTCTATGGAAATAACATTGATAAAATAACAACACCTAAACGCATATATGAGCGGTGACGTTTTTAGTCCGCTAGAGGGAGCTAAAGGCATACAATATAAAATGATTGCATACCCGCAACGGAACCCGACTAGAACGCTCAGAAATGCCAATGTACAATCTTTGTTTGAAAAAAAAAAACACAAATTTTATTCAAATAAATAAAAGACGGACAATTGAATTACAATCGCAGGCAGAGATTTGTAAATTCAAAGTGACAAGCTGACGTGTTGAAAGTGACAGAGGGGAATCGATGTGGTTTCGTTAAAACTGTCTTTATTATTAAACACTTAACAGAGTTATGAGATCGATACATCTGCCGGTTGACAGCGAAGGCCAATTTACGACACAGTAGCAGTTAGAACCGTTCCAAACAAAGGAAATCACGTCCTAGACTTTTGTGGCATTCATTGTTATTTTATGCCGGAATAAAAGAATGTGGCTTTTTTTTTTTAAATAACTACAAGCCCACACTCACAACAGAGCCACGTTCATCAGATTAATTTATACCATGATAAAAGATAAATATATTATTAAATATTACATAGTTCACTTGCGTACATTCAGTATAACAGCGTGCTGGCTGCTGATGTTCTATTTATTTTATTTTTTTACTATCTTATAGCGATAATTTCCGACATGCTACAGATACACTTGACCTCCGTGGCCTCTGTGCGAAGGATTTTTTTTGTAATTCGTACAAAATAAAATAGTATTTAATGCATTATATACAGTAATACTCTACACGTGACAGAATATGCTCTACACTTTCCCCTATATGTGCAAATTATGTACAGCTATTGACAATTTGTCGTCATGTTTCAGACTGCATTGCTGAATCAAGCAGCGTTAATACTGTTTACTGTAGGTGGACACACACGTGTGTGTGTGTGTGGAGTCATTCTGTACCATATATACAACAACTTGTCCATCTGGACGCAGGTCCAGGGTCAAAGCTGATGGAAAAGCCCTGTGTCAAATATTTAATGCACATTTTAGTCCAGGATTTTCCCTTTGATTTCTTTCACTGACTTAATTTACACCCGAATGATCAACAAGTCAAACCAGCATTATTATTTAAGTGCTGTTGCCAGTGGAGCCAGAGGTTAAATAAAATAAAATAAAATAAAATAAAATAAAATAAATGAGTATAATAATAGTATTTCATTTAATTAAACTTAAAATAAGATAAATAAAATTTCCCATCTGAGATCATTGTATTTGTATTATGTAGACGTGGTTGACTTAACTTATTTATTTTCTAATTTTCTTTTAATCATAAACATATCACTGGCATTTTAAAATAAATTACATCACCATCATCAGTAAACAAGTTTTTTTTTTTTTTTCCCCGCCCCTGCTGTTCCGCACCGTCACTCTGTAGAAAAACCCAACCATCTGGCAACACTGGCTGTAATCATCCCTGAAATCATTTTTCCTCACCAACATCCATCATCCTGGACTGTTGAAGGCACATTTGGTGATGGAGACAAACAGAAAATGAGAATAAGAACGATGGGAGAAGCAGCTGAGGAGAAATGGACTCACTCCTGCTAACAGTTCTATCACCTTGTGATTGGTTCTCCCGTAACTAATTATGACATAACTTGACAGAACTCTCGTCTTAATTTTCCATCTTTGATGTTAAATGTTTTTGGATATTTAACATCAAATTTTTAGAACAGAATCCCACAGAACTGGACAAAAGTTGTATATACAGACCCATAACTAACCCTACTTCACCCCCATGGTCCCTGTCTGGGTCACAACCCACGGTTTGACCCATACTGGGCCGTGGTTTGTTTGTCAGCGGTTCTAAAAGTCAAGTATTAATGTCCAAATCCAACATGGTTCCAGTCAAAAAAAGGCTCAACAACTTCTGTTAATAAGAATGTACAAAAACAATATTCGTTTACAATCGTAATAAATTCACATTTTTAAATCTGCTAAATGTAAATAATTGCAGGGAAAACAAACCAAACAAACAAACAAATAAGCACCTTCTTGTTCTTCTTTTTGTATTTTCAGAAATGGATGCAAAAGCCTGTAGCTGACAGAGTGCCTATGAGCAAGGCTCTGAATGTTATATAGTCGAGGATATTGCTGTTCCCTTTGAGACATTTTACAAAGAATTACAGAAAAATAACGTAAAAAAACAAAAATAAAAACTGGATTTAAGACTTTTTTGTAACATATTTACCAAAGAAACTTAGCACTAACTAGATGTAGTGACCAAAGTTAATGGATGACTAAACTATTCTTATGGTCTGATTCAAACTTTTGTCAATTCTGAAGTTTGAATGGTAAGTATTGTAAGATTTTGTGCCGGAAATGAAGAGGATTTTATTTTATGGATTTTGACTTTGTTGAGATCAGATGATGAAATTCTTGTCCAGAGAAATTCACTGTAGATCAAAGACGCTGAAGAAGTATCTTGTAACTGATGATGAATCTGTGCTGAGAGTGGACTGGGTCCAAGTCTGCCGTGGGGTCAGGACCTCTGTGCTACATGGCTGAGGTGACGTGGGTCAAGCCCAGGTCGTGAGAGTCTTCTTTTCCAATGTGGGAGATTGAAGACAGTTCCACTGCTAGTCAGGTGGGTTTACTGGTCCTGCCCGGGTTCTCCAGTGGAACCGCGGCCTCCCTCACACTGCTGGAAGCCTTCTTCCCCACTGAAACCTTCTCTCCTTTCATTCTGGCCGACAGACAGAAGTCCTTGAAGCAACGCTTGAAGTTCTCGTCCAGGAAGGCGTAGAGGACGGGGTTCAGGCTGCTGTTGGTGTAGCCCAGAGCCACGCAGAAGAAGTAGGCCGCCGTGATGGCGGTGGTCTCGGGCACGCTGGCGAGCGCCTTGATGAGGATGAAGATGTGGATGGGCGTCCAGCAGACCACGAACACGGCCACCACCACCACCACCAGCCGGGTGATGCGACGCAGGTTGCGGTCCTTCTCCCGGGAGCCGGACAGAATCCGGACGCGCTTCAGCCTCAGCACCATCAGGGAGTAGCAGACGGTGATGATGAGCACGGGCACCACGAAGGCGAAGACGAAGACGCAGACCTTCATCAGGGTGTCCCAGTAAACGTACGGCTCCGGGAACTGTAAGGCACACTCTGTTATTCCTGCAGCGGCCGTCGGGGGAGGAGAGGGGAGAGGAGGGAGAGACGTGAGGTGAGTGATGAAGTGCATCATAAATTAAACCTCACCCACTCGGCGCTCTCCTTCTGTTATCACTTTAACAAGCTGCTCTGAAGAATCTAATCTGCACTCCAGGGGGAGCCGTCTGATCCAAAAGTAGAATTTTTCTGCACAAAGGCTGAAGCGGGAAGTGGGGCTAATGGAAAACTGATTGATGGACGTGATGGAAAAAAAAAAAAATCCTGCTTTTACACTATTACTGATAAAGCATGTTTCAAGAGGACCTCCAGCTCCAACAGTATGAGTGTGTGAGGGTTTTTAAAAGTAGTAAAAAGATATTTTAAGGCCGACGGCTGTTGCTGTGATACTGTAGTCAGACTGTAATGAAGTACCAGGAACAGGTACTTCATTTTACCACAATTTACCCCACGAGTAACAAACGCCTTTGTTTGTTCAGCAACTAACTAATTAACTCTAATTACTCTAATAAACTCTAATGTCCCCAGTCCAATACTATAAAACGTTACACGACATAGACATAGTTTTTTTTTTTTTGTTATTACACGACATAGACGTAGTTTTTTTTTGTTATTTTTTTACTGTTCCAATTCTTTAGGCTAGAAATTGTTTTTATCACGAAAATATTAGAAATTAATTAAAAAATAATTTGCTGTAAAATACTGTGATTTAGAGACGCTCTATATCACATGAGATTGGAATTAAAAAAAAAAAATATATGAACAAGGAGTTCAAATGCAGAGCCTGTAAATATTTAAATCGTTCTTGGATCCTTGGCCTGAATAAATATTAAAGATGTTTTTGTTTAAAAAAAAAAAAGTTTCTGTCTGTGTGAAATATATTTTCAAGTCTTAAAAGACTTTTAATCCTCACTAGTGTTTGTCTGCGTTCCCCCCAGGACGAAGGCGGGAATCCCGGCGGCCGACGACAGGATCCAGATGCACACGTTGATCATCTTGGCCTTGACGGGAGTGCGAAAGTCCAGGGCTTTGACCGGGTGACAGACGGCCACGTATCGGTCCACGCTCATCATGGTGAGTGTGAAGATGCTGGTGAACATGTTGTAGTAGTCGATGGAGATGAAGACCTTACACACCACCTCGCCAAAGGGCCAGGTGTTGAGCAGGTAGTCGGTGCTCTGGAAGGGCATGGTGGTGGTGACCAGGGCGTCGGCCAGCGCCAGGTTGAAAATGTAAATGTTGGTGGCGGTTTTCATCTTGGTGTACCTTTGGAAGAAGACAAAAAAAAAAACACACATGAACAACACGAGGTTGGCAATAAATGGGAGGTTGGGTCGAGCGGCGGCCGAAGCTGGCATGGCAGCAGGACATTAGTGGTCCGACTGTTCCAGACCTCTGAGGCTGGACGGCCATGAATTAAACATGGATGATTAGTCTCTCGGCTTCCTTGAATAAGTAATGTCATTTCTGCGACGATGGCTTCATTGTTATGTATAAATGCAGCTGATTGCTGGCCCAGTGTAATCAACTGGCTTTTCACTTCATTAAACTATGGCAGCATTAAAGTCCTGGCAATCGGACTTCCTCCGAGTCCCGCTGTAATATTCAGCTTCGGGTTCTTCAAGTTCAGTCTGCAGTCTTCACATTCATGTATTCCCCGTCCAAGTCAGTGGAAAAATCACAGCAAGTCTGAGTCAAACAGTCGGAATCGTTCTCTCTGACTCCAGTCAAGTCTCTTGACAATTTTTTGACTTTGTTTTCAACTTTAGCTAGCTCGGGCTAGCATAGTATTTTGCTAATTTTAAACCGTTTTGGGCACTTAGCAGTGATCGTTGACTCATTTTTGACCAACTGTTAGCTCCTGATGTTGTATGTTTGGTGAACATATTTGGGTTTCTTGCATCACGTTAGCTTACTTTTGCTACCTGTGCTATATCTCAGGCTACTTCCTGGCTTGCTTTTAGCTAACAGAGTGGTAGCCTTGCTGGACATTTGTGGGGGGCAAGGTGTAGGAATGTAATAATTTTGAATGTTAGGCTACGCTAGGACACGTGACAAAGCGCCATTTCTGTCCACGTTCATGAACGTCGTCATTGTTCTTTCGTCCAGTGTTTACTTCACAACCTCTCTTCTTTTTTTTTTTTTTTCAAATATTTTTGGGGGCTGAGCGCGCTCTCAGACAAATCAACATCAACCGTCTTGGGCTGAGCCCGGTCTCAGACAAATCAACATCAACCGTCTTCTTCCGTCAGTTGAATTAACCTCCGTGGAGCCGTTACATAGTAAAACATGAATAATTTCCTGGGACTGAAGAGATAAAATTGGCTCCTATCGACAGGCGATGCAATCTCTGTGATTTGAGGTAATTGTTGCCCGTGGACCGCGGCGTCGTGGACGGCACTGCTGCATTTCAGCTCACATCAGAGGAGATTTGTTGCCCTCAAACGCCATAAATAACACCCAGTGAGGAGCAGGCGGGCCGCCACGCTGACAAATGCACCGGGGTTTACAGCTATAATTAATAGTCTTTTACGTGGGTCATGGTGCGGCACTGATTTATCGGCTATTGTTAGTATATTTTTTAGAGCCTACGGGGAAATTTGGTCCGTTTGAAGGTTCCAGGCTCCTGTGAAGTGCAGCAGGAGACGGGAATCGGTTCCATTCCTTTGTCGTCACAGGAGAAGTGGCAACATTTTGTTCCTGTCTCTGATCGTCAGAATGATTTCAGACACATTGGCACTCGTGAATATGAACGCTCAGCGTCCAGTGGCGTGTCAGTAGAATTACAGACACGGGTATCAGTACTGACGGCCTGGGGACTGATTAATGTTCTTGACCGCAGCAGGTTTTTATTTTCTAACCAGAATGATGGATTTTTGGGGGCAGTTATATTTTTGTTTTCAGAATTTTACCACCTTTAACTATATTTACATTTTTTTTCTTCGCCTGATTTTAGATTTTTTTTTAAATGTCTAAACATTTTTTAGATTAGATTTTCACAGCAGCTGCAACGACCAGATATATTGCATCACATTACAATATATTTAGCCGACGCTAATATATAAAGTGACTTACAATTTGAGTCAGTCAATCAACAATCAAGCTACAGTAAACAAACAAACTTAAAAAAATACATAAATATTAACAGATAGTAGTTAATAATAATGATAATAAATAGAAAACCTACAGTTATAGTCACAGTAAAAAGAACAGTATGGCAGATATATGTATGTTGTAACATATATTGTGAGTTGTACTCAAACATGTTACTGTTCGCCAAACGTTCTTCTTTGCTGATTCAGTGCATTCTGTGTATCCTGCTAACTTTGGGTCTATTGCTGCCACCTACTGGGCTGGAGTGTTAGTGTCAGTGCCAACTGTGCCACAGAAATTGTGGCTTAAATAAATTGTATTGTAATTTAAGTGACTGAAAATTAACAGCTGAAACTCACAACTCTATTTTTACACCACGGCACCTGGAGCTCAGTTAGAGTCAGAGACACTGTGTTTTTTTACATCAATAAGATAATTGCACCATGAGTACAAACAAATACAAAATTTAAGGTACTTATTTTAATTTTTTTAAAATTTTGTTTCAGCTGTCACATCAGCTCCTCCTTTGAAACCACTGCCATTCTTCAACCATCAGGTGAAAAAAAAAAGAAATCAAATCTGCTCCTCACCTGATGATGACATACATGACCAGGCAGTTGCCCAGTAATCCCACCACAAACACCACGGAGTGCACCGCAGTGATGATGGGGATGATGGGGGACATGCCCTCGGACTCCCAGCCGCTGTCATGGCTCACATTCCGGCTCTCGGAGAATCCCGACAGCCAGGCTGAGGATGCGTTAATCTGACAGTCCTCCGGGGGCGCGGACACACACTTATTACTGCCGTCTTTGTAAATCTCCACCGGGCTCCCCTCCATCCTGACACCTGTGTGTGAGACTGAGAGCAGGAGAACGGAGTCAGAGAAAAAAAAAAAAAGAATTTGGCATCCGTGCGCTGCAGCCAACCCGAAGTGAACGTGTTTCAATTCAAAATAAATTATTATTATTATTATTATTGTATTTTTTTTAGCTTACAATTTATTTCCGTTTCGGTTTCCGTTTGGGGAGAAAAAACAAAGTATGCGGTGGAACAGAGCGGAATGAGCAGGTTAACTCAGAGAAAAAACAAAGTATGCGGTGAAACAGAGCGGAATGAGCAGGTTAACTCACCTTTTTTTCAGGCAGAAAAAAAAATGCGGACGATCCCTTTAGATGAAAGTAAAGGTGTTGATTTCGTAGCCGGTTTGAACGAAGCTCCACTCGGTTGTTTTTTTTTTTTCCAGCTCTGCTGCTCGATGTCTGGGTGTTAAAAGTTGGAGGATGGTTTTCTGCTCTGCGCGCCCGGAGAGAGGCAGCCAACAGCTTGGCATACACTCGTGCACGCGCACCGATGGAGGCGCGCAAAGAGAAGTCGTTACGTTACGCACCGCGGGCGGACAACACACACACACACACACATTCAAGCTGCTGTAGCCTGACATTAAATGTAGAGTACGCCGGGATTTCCGTCCCAACAATAAACCAAAGAATCAGTTTGAAGCTGACAAATCACCTCAGACATCTGTGTTTTAACACTAGAAGTGTATGGTGGCAAAAGGCCGCTGAAAACCTCTAGATAAAAACCTGTTTGTGTCACGTAATGTAATTATGAGAATAATATATTTTTTTTCCTCCAGCAGGATTTCAAACAATCTCAATATAGCGTTACCCCGGCAACGAGGGATGTGCCACAGTGGTCTGCCCAATCAGAGGCCACGCTGAGGAAGCACTCTGTGACATGAACCCTGGACATGATCCTGGAGTTCAGGAGAGAGGTTTCAACAGAAGTGATGACATCATCATTAAGCTAAAAGATGACGTCGTTGCCGTGGTGATCGTGAAAGTCCCGACGACCTGCCTACGTAGAAACGCACGGACCAGTGCCTTTACGAAGAGGTTATCGCCAGCGACGCCTTAAGGTAAAAGCTCTTAATTGGACAGTCAACATATGGGGCTGGGGTAAATTGGAGGGAAGATAAGGAAAAAAAATGCAAAAAAAAAAAAATATATATATATATATACAGTGTATATTTTGAGAAACTTTTGTCCTGAAAACTGCAATAATTGTTGGATTCTCAAGTTTCCGATGGCACCTGAAGGCACCTTGTGTGACCGCTGTTTTTGAGAGGAAATAGAGCTAACAGTTTATTATTACCTTTATTATTCTGTGGGAATATACAGTGGTGAAAACATTTATTTTTCTTATGCTAAACAAATGTAATAATTATTGAATAGTGAATAAAAGTAAGAAGTTAAAGTGTAATTTTTACCATTGTCTTTGACTTTGCCTGGGATCCCAGACCAGAAGTTAATGCTGTTTGGTGGGCCTTGGCACCCAGCTATGCTCTGCAGCAGAGTGGCGCCAGCAGCCTGCAGTCACATGTTCCTCTGGTCTGGTGATGCACTAAAGTGAAAACTGCTAAGTGACATTGAGCAAGGCACAGCCATGAGAGACGAGGAGAAAATCCAGTGAGTGAAAATAGTTTAATTTGATAAGAAACATGCAGAAAAGATACATTTCTTTTTTTCAAAATTTTACTCCATCTGAGCACAGTGACATGCCAAATTAGGATTTCGCCAAAAAAACAAAATTTGAATAAAATTCAATTCATTAAATAAAATTCTCAAAACTGAGAAACATGCAGAAAAGAAAAAAAAATTCCAGTTTTCATGAAATTAAAAAAAAATTCTAAAATAATATGTTGTCTGCATTTTGTCTGCATTTGTTTCTCATCAAAATATAGTATTATTAATTTTTTTTATACATTTAAAAAAAATATTTTAGAAAAAAACATTTTTGGGAAAAACTTAAAGAACTTTTTTTTTCGGTAAAAAATAAAATAAAAAATTGGGGAAAAATTTTAATTCATTTACTCACCTGGCAGCATGTTTTAGGACATAGTCTTGCATTTTAGGGAATTTTTATTTTTATGGATTTTTTTCATGATGTTAAGGCTATAATGTTATAATGGTAAGGCATGTTTTGGGTGATTTTTGAAATATTCATAGTCCACTGGAAGGTACCAACCACCCTAACGAGATTCGAACTTGCCCAGGAGGTTAACCCTGGGGTTCCAAACCAATGACTCTGGGCCAAAAGCGCCACTGAAAAAAAACATTTTTCTAAAAAAATTCTGAAATTTTTTTTCAGAAAATATTCAGGAAAATTTTTTTTCCAAACATTTCTGGAAAATTTTTTTTTCTTCAAAAATCTTTTGAAAAAACTTTTCAAAAATTGTTTTTGAAAAATATTTAAATGTTTTTTTGTTTTTTTCAAAAATGTTAAAAAAAATTTTTTTTCAGAAAATTTTTAGAAAAACCAAATTTTAAAAAAAAATCTTTTTTTTTTAAATTTTCTGAAAAATATTTAAATTTTTTTTTCCAAAAAATGTTTAGGAAAAACATTTTTTCCCAACAATTTTTCGAGAAAATTAAAAAAAAAAAAATTTTCAAGAAATTAAAAAAATTCTTCTTATAAAAATTTTTTTCAAGAAATCTTTTAAAAAAAATGTTTCTTGAAAAAAAAAGACTCCAAGTCCAGTTCATCAGGGCTCACATCTGTGGTCACCTCATGGTCAGGACAGTGAGGACACTCCTTAGATCCTCATGATTGCTGTTTGACAAGGAATGGGTCAGAGGTCAGAGGGTCCCTGTGACTTTTTAACTTTTCAAATTTTTTTTCAAAAAATGTTTTAAAAAAAAATTCAACATTTTTTTGAAAAAATGTCAAGAAATTTTTTTTCTAAAATTTTTTTTTAAGAAATTTTTTCAAAAACATTTTTTTTTCACGAAATTAAAAAAAACTTTTTTGAAAAACATTTCTTGAAAAAAAATTAAAAAAAAAAAAATTCCTTGAAAATGTTTTTTTCGAAAAAAAAAGACTCAGAGTCCAGTTCATCAGGGCTCACATCTG